ACTTTGAGAAATCATGCTTTATGCGTTGTATTGGAAGTTCCAATGTTGGTTAAATTGCATCGATATTGTGATTTGTGTTTTGATGTTCAAATGTAGCTTAGGAACGATCCTATAGATTCATTTAGAACATAGACATTAGGTGGCATGATCCACTTTATTTGTTTTCATGTTTTAGATTTTAAGTTGAGAACTTTGATAATCTATATCTTGTTGCTTTGTATAACATGCTTCCATGTTGTTAAATTGCATGAATGATGTGATTTATGCTAGAAATGATCTAAGGTAACTTAGGATGTTCCCAGAGTCTCATCTTGACATAGACGTTAGGTGGCATGAGCCCCTTTGACTTGATTCACCTTAAGGTGATAATTTTGTAAAATGTTAGGTCGATGCATGCTTATTTCCTATGAGTAGCTTTATGTTACTCACCCGAAGTTACTGGGGATTTGTTTCAAGTACGAAGGCTTGGTTCATGATGCTCATCATTCCTTGGATGACTTGTAGCTTTAAAATTTCCATTTCATGCAAATGTTAGCATGAAATGTCATTTTGTACCATTGTATATCAAAACTTGTATCTTTGATTCTATGTATGTAATATGTACATAAGTACACTTTTTTCAATGTATTTGATATGTATGAGTTGAGGCCATAGGCCAATGGCATCAAATATGTATTCTATGCACTTTCGTTTTCAAGGTTTACGATGGAAATAATGGAAAATGTTAAGTCTTTGCGTCACCATGTTTGCCTCGGGTGTGGGAATTCCATTCTTTTTCTTTCATAGGGTCTCTATGATCATATTTGAGGTGTGGCCAAGGGCAAAACACCATTTTGTTTTAGGCTTTGCATTTTGGTCTCATTTATTGCATTTTAAGGCAATTTTATGATAAATCGAGGTTTAAGAGGTCATATTTTGCATTGAGGATATTTTGAGGCCGCAGACCATTGGCACGCGTCTTAAATGTCTTTTTACGTTTGCGTAGATGTCCACATTTCACAAAACTCTTAAGTTTCAACTTTAGACCTAGTTTTGGGCGATTTTATGAATTTTTATGAAAAATTCATGCATTGGGGTACCATTTTAAGTTCCTATTTATTTTGGCATGTTTTAGATGCTTGCATAAGGCTAGGGAATGTTTTCAAACTTGTTCAGATCATGTAGAATGCATGTAGAACCTTAGATACAGACCGAACACATTTCTCACCCATTGCAGCAGCTTTTTCTACTGCAACAGATGTGTCGGTCGGCTGATGAGGGTCATCAGCCGGCTGACAAGCCTCGAGGGTCCATTGTAGTAGGGATTTTAGGAAAATCATCATTTTGGCTGACCGATGATTGGGCTTCGGTCAACCGATCTTTCCTATAACCTTCTATTTTCAGCTTTTCTTGGATAATTTTGTTGCATCAACTTTGGGAGATCGTATCTCTTTCATTTTAAAACCAAATTGGGTCATTCTTGAGTCTAAATTCAAGAGTTTGAAGTTATCTTTCCAATGGTACCAACCAACCATCAAAACTCCATCTATAATGTGAGTTATTCCAGTTTTAGTGAGATAGGTTCGTGGTAACTCTTAAATGGAGAAGGCCACTTTGTTTTAATTTCATATCTTTTCCGTGCGGACTCAGAAATCAGGCGATTCTTGAGTCCAACTTCGTTCATTTTTCGTTGTCTTTCCAATGGTGTGTGAGGTGGCACCCATTTCAGTGTGAAATAACCACCTTACCCTTAGTTCATCTCTTATAGGGTTTGGCATTCTTGCTTCATTGCTTGGCTTAATTGAGTTCCATGGCTTCATAGGGAGTCATTTTGGTGCCTTAGGGATGGTGTACATCTCTAGTGGCCATTTTGCTTTTGCATTTTGGATTCGTTATTAGATCATCCTTTCGGTTCACCACTAACTCACTGGGTTGAAAAACTTGGGCCGTCACAGGTGGTATCAGAGCTCCTAGGTTTGAATACCTTGGGATGACGGGTTTTGGGTGCATATCACATTTTTGTTGCTATGTTATACGGGTGTATATGCTTTTTGTTAACATATTTTGCTATTATAACATGTTTATGTATTTCTTGATAACACGTTTGGTATTATGATGTATGTAATGACCCGGTCATTTTTCTTCCTTTTCTTTTTCTTAGATTTTAACGGATATTTTTTTCCATTGTCTTTTCCTTTTTGGGTTTGGTTTTTCATCACTTGATGTTGTCTCGAGTGTTCTGGAATGATTTCCGAGACTTTTTTCCTTGAATTGACAACTTCCTTTGGGGATTGTGTCATTTCTATATTTTATTTTTCCGAACACTATTCACATTTTGTCTTTTTCTCATTTATCTTTTTTCCTTTCACAACCTCACTTTTTGTACTCGGATTTGACCGTTACTTTAAAGATAACATAAAATAAGACAGAAAATAAAAATGTAGAATATTGAAATTTATCAGAGCAATTTTAGCATTTCAATTGCCAAATCAAGCAGTAAAAACACTTTTAAAAGTTCTACAAGGACTCTATTGCAAAACCTGAGGGTGTGCCCAACGAAGCAGCAACAAGAACAACTACTTACCAAAGGTAATACAACACACAATATGCGGTAAACACAACAATTCAATTCCTGAAAGTAACTACTATAGTGTGATAGTGGCTGCCAAACTTTCAAATAATTAAATGTAAAATAGAAAAAAGAGAAAATAAAGAAAGGAAAAATGTGGACAGGGCAAGAATAAAGGCTTTAGAAAATCATTAAAGAAATTTCCACTTCTAAGTATAAACAATCACTAACCCATCAAAAGAAGCTAATCTTTATTTATTTATTTATTTTCTTCTTTCAGACAGATTATAGAAAGAGAAAAGCATTTGGGACAAAATTGTAGAGAGAAAAAAAGTTGTTGATAAGTGTGGAGGGAAAAAATCCCCCTTCCAATAATAATCATCCACATTGTTACACTACAACATTGATTCAGATACCACAATAGCCCAATCGGTACCAAACCCAAATCAGATCAGCCCAGTCCAAAGCAAGCCCAGACAAGGGCTCGGCTCCCACATCTATTGCAGACCATAGCCACCTGGCCCAACTTCTAAGCCCAGACAGCGACAGCCCGTCATACCAATGGCCAGATCAAAGCCTATTAGCAGAATCATCGAGGCCAACCCATGTTCAGCCCAATCTTGATAAAAGGAAGTCATGTCCTGCTAGGCCAAGGAATCACAAAAGAGAGCAAGTTCTATACAAGGAAAATTCAACATAGAAAGAATTGTAGAAAGGAAAGGATTATAGATGTAAAGAAAATCATATATAGAATGAATTGGAAGACAAACCATGCGAATCCTACCAAAATTCCACCACTGTATTTCTTATAAATAGAGACTTAGACCTCCAATAAAATCATCAAGCATTATATAATTATTCTGAGTTTTAGTTTTGCTTGTTCTTGAGTGAGTTGTGAATTTCTTTTTATTTATTCAAATAGAGAGAAATTTTGCACCTACACTTTAGCACCGTCTGTGGGAATCGTATAGAAAGATACTCCCACTTTTTATTTGAAGTTGTTTTTGTTTCCACGATCCGGAATGTCAAACGCAAAATCAATGGCGATAGATCAACAATGGAGTTGATGCAAAAGATGCGAGAAGAGTTCTTGCACCAGTTCGAAGCGCTTCGTTAGGCGAATGAAGCCAGCATAGCCCAAATTGTATTGCTTCAACAGCAGAACGTCACCCTTCAAACAGCTATGGCATAGTTGGCACCCCAACCACCACCAGTTGACAGGGCTGCGCCTCTTTCCAACCAAAACGAACCCCAGGGCAATGGGGTTTGGCCCAATGAAGTTCGGCGATCACCAGTTAACGGAGCTACACTTCCTCCCAATCAAAATGAGCCCCAGGTCAATGGGGCTCGGATTAGTGAAGTTCGGCCCACGGAAGTTCAGCAAGTCCAGAGGGCTAGATCCGAGGCAGTAGCTTGGGACAATTTTCCTCATCACACGCAGGATGAACAGGCCGAATCCAGCCGTAAACTCACGGTATGGTCTAATGGTGTTCCAGATGGTGCAGGAGTAAAGGAGGCATTTGAAGATAAGAGACTCTTGAGAGTTTAGACGCCTGCAGAGATGGCCAGGGAATATAAGAACTCTCTTGTGAAGACTCCATTAAATGACGATGTGTACCTCGTTGAGAGACCCAAGAAATTCACTATGCCATCCTTTACCCAGTTTGATGGTACAGGAGATCCTTCCAGGCACTTAGATCACTACGCGTAAAAGATGGCTCTGGATGATCACAATGACCCATGGATGTGCAAAGTCTTCCCTACCAGTCTAACTGGGGTTGTGCTAGAGTGGTTTGGGAATAGGCCGCATAAGTCTATTCCAGATTACGAAACTCTATGTGCTATGTTCCTGGCGCAGTATCGCGGTAATAAGAAGCAAAAGAAGAGTATTGCTAGCCTTTTTACTATAAGGCAAAAGAAGGGCGAAACGCTACAAGACTTCTTGTCTAGATTCAATATAGAGGCTTCAAAAATAGTAGATTGCCACCCTACTACTGCAATAGAAACATTCAAGCTTGCAATAATTCAGGGAATCAAGTTTTATACGTCCTTGATTAAGTATTCTCCTCCGAACATGTAGACTCTCAATGCTAGAGCACAGATCTACATCCGACTGGAAAAGAATGTGGCTTACCGAGCTCAACATGCCACCCTCGTTAGGGTAGAGAACAAGCTTCAGGAAAAAGTTTCAAGCTCAAAAGGCCGAAGAAGTCATCACGCTTCGGCACCAGCCATTCAAATACCCGAAAAATGGCAAAGGACAGAAGAAAGAATCACGCCCCTTCGCACAACCTTGGGCTGGTTATTTCAGGAGAACAAAATGAAGTTTGCAGCCCCTTAGCCAATAAGGCAACCGTTGGAACAGAGAGACAAGTCCAAGCATTACGCTTACCATAGAGATTATAGGTATACGACCAATGATTACAGATCCCTTAGGAGACAGGTGGAAAACATGATACTGAGGGGTGAATTGGCAGATTACCTTACAACAAAGGAGTACGTGAAGCCTCAGGAGGTTAACCCCCGGAGAGTCGAAGGTAATCAAGTGAAGGTCATCCATGCAATACATAGAAGATCGGAAGATAATCAGTAGTCAGAGGAGGTTTATAGATCCCAACTAAGAACAGCCCATAAACTGAGGAGGCTATCCTCGATAAACACTATTGCTTCGGGAAGCATTAACATCGGGTTCGGCGATGGAGACCTATCTAAAGTTCAACTTCCCCACGAAGATCCATTGGTCATCAGTCTTCTGATGACGAATTGCATGATTAAGAGGATTTTGATAGACCCAAGAAGTAGTGCCGACATCATCACAAAGGCGGTCTTTGAGCAACTAGAGATTCTGTCGTCATCAATTCGGCCTACCTCTAGGCTATTGATGGGGTTCGATGGTACAAAAGTGGATCCCCTTGGGATGATTGACTTATCCGTAACCATGACAAAGAGGACTCTAAAGGAAAACTTTGTCTTAACAGAGATCCACCCTTCCTATGATCTTATTATAGGAAGAGGTTGGATCCACCGAATGAACGGAGTTCCGTCTACCCTTCACCAGGTAATGTGATGTTTGTCTCCGGACGGGAAAGAGGTTATAGACCTCAGAGAAGATCAAGTAGCTGCCAAAGAGTGCTATATGTTAACACAGAATGAGGCAAAGAAGGTAGTGAAATAGTCCCAACCGATCACACCTCTGGGAAGCAAATCTAAATAGCAATTACAGAATCCTCTGCCCAGGTATCTAAGCGCAGAGGAAGAGGCCGAAGCAGAAAAGCCTACCAAGGATTCCCTGGAAGCTGTCGAAGTAATCCTCGACAATCCTCAGAAAATCACCTACTTGGGTTCTTCCCCCACAGCCAAAGAAAAAGAAGCATTAATCAATTTCGTTCGACGAAATGCAGATGCATTTGCTTTGGAGCATTCAGACATGGTGGGGATCTATCTTTCAGTCTCATGCCATAGCTTGAAGGTGGATCCGACATACAAACCAGTCAAGCAGAAGCATAGAAGGTTTGCCCTAGAGCGCAACCAAATTATAGCTAAAGAGGTAAGCAAATTACTTCAAGCAGGATTCATCCAAGAGGTGTACTACCCACAATAGCTCTCCAACATGGTGGTAGTTTAGAAGAAGAATGGAAAATGTAGGGTTTGCATAGATTTTACCAATCTCAACAAAGCCTGCCCAAAAGACAGCTTCCCGTTACCCAAGATTGATCAGATGGTTGATGCCATTACTAGTTTTGAGAGGCTCACGTTTCTTGATGCGTACTCTGGCTACAACCAAATTCCTATGAATCCGGAGGATGAAGAGAAGACTACTTTCATAACGGAGAAGGGTACCTACTGTTACAGAGTTATGCCCTTCAGGCTCAAAAATGTTAGAGCAACTTACCAGCGCCTCTTAACAAGATCTTTGATGAAATGTTGGGAAAGACGGTTGAGGCCTATATCGATGATATGGTGGTTCAAAGTGTGAAGAAAGAGGAGCATCCTAGACACGTCCAAGAGGTCTTTGACACTTTAAGAAAATATGGCATGAAGTTAAATCCTTTGAAGTGTTCCTTCGCAGTTTCTTCAAGACAGTTCCTCAGCCATATTGTGAACAAAAGGGGTATTGAGGTAAGTTCAGCTCAGGCTCAAGCCCTCATACAAAATTAAGAACCAAAGACCTGTAGGGATGTACAAGTTCTGACCGACCGAATCACCACTCTCAGTCGATTTATTTCTTGATTGTCCGATAAGTGCAAACCATTCTTTGGTGTAATAAGGTCCAAAAACAAAGACATATGGGGGCCACAATAGCAAGATGCTCTCAATCAACTGAAATGTTGCATGGCGAGACCCCCAATTCTGTCAGCATCGAAGCCTAGTGAGACTCTTATTATGTACTTAGCCATCTCCAGCATAGCCACGAGTGCAGTATTAATCAGAGAAGAAGGTAAGAGTTAGTATCCAATTTTTTACACCAGCAAGACAATAACAGATGCAGAAATGCGGTACAACAAAGCCGAGAAGATCATACTAGCATTAGTATACGCAAAAAGGAAACTTCGACACTACTTTGAGTCACACAACATCAGAGTTCTTACCAACTACCCCATGCGAGTCATTCTTTCTAAATCGGATTTGTTTGGAAGAATAACTAAATGGGCGATCGAGCTTAGCTCCTTTGACATATCCTACGAGCCGAAAGTGTCACACAAAGGGCAAGCGCTAGCTAATTTCCTCTTGGAATATGAAGATAAGCCCGAAGAGCCATGCCCTTTCGAACCATAATGGGAGCTTCGGGTAGATGGTTCCTCGAACTTGATTAATGTTGGAGTAGGAGTCGTTATCACAACTCCTGAAGGCACCAAACTGCAGTAGTTAATTCGGCTGACTTTTCCTGCCACTAACAATGAGGCAGAATATGAATCAGGTAACAGGCCAGTACCAGCATAAAGAGTATAGAATGAAGGCCTACAAAGAAGCCGTGGAGATTGTCTTGTGAGGGTTCGACTAGATCGAGTTTCATCAAATACCTCGCGAGGAGAATTCTGAAGCAGATCAGTTACCTGTAGCAGCATCTTCTTCGGATGAAGATTTGGTCCGGATTGTACCAATCGACATCCTGGATGAACCAAGTATAAGCCCTCGACAGGAGATAATGGTGATCCCAATTGTCCCACGTGAACCATGCTAGATGGATCCATTGGAAGCTTACCTTAAGGAGGGGACTCTCCCGAACCAGAAGGCCGAGGTACGAAAACTCAAGCTCACCGTAGCCAAATATGCTATCATCAATAACCAATTGTATCAAAAATCATTCTCAAGTCCTTACTTGAAATGTGTGAGCCCCACAGAGGCTCTCACAATACTGCAGCAAATTCAAGATGGGGATTGATGAAAGCTGAAAAGTACACATTTAAACCCCTTAAATTTGAGTATTCTAGGACCTTTATCTATCTTATTTATCCGTTTTAGTACTTATTTGTGTTTTTATCTATTTCAGGTCAATAATGTTAAAATAGGCTAAAAATGAGTTCTTAAGGCCTTTTTGGAGTCAAACTAAGTCTTAGCGATGATACGGAGCAAAAAGAGGCTGATTTGGAACAAAAAAAGGTTGATACTGAAAAGCTAAAAAGTTGGATGGATCGTAGAAAAAGTTGGATCGATCGAAAATAAGTTGGATCGATCAGAAAAGTTGGATCGATCGAAAAAGTTGGATCGATCGAAAATAAGTTGGATCGATCGAACTGGACATGCTGGCAGCAAGCTGTCACTTTTTCCGTGCGCGCCTAAAAGTTCACCTACCAAAAAGTTGCGGGATTGGATATTTTTGGGCATATATTCTAGACTTAGTGACTAAGAAAAGGACCTTCTATATAAAGGGAAGCAACCCATTTGTAAAAGGGGATTCTTTAGGCTTTTTATCATTTTATTTTCTACATTGTAATTTTTATTTTCTCTCTCTAGAAAAATTAGAGATTAGGGTTAAAAGAAAAGAGAGAAGTGGAGGCACATCTCAAGAAAACATTTCTAAATCCACTATCTCTCCATCTCTAGAGCTTCAAAGAAGAAGAAGAAGAAGAGGAAGAAGAAGATGGAGCCATGTTTGGAGCTTGATTCCATGACTACATCCACCTCCTCCATGATTGACTAGATCTACACTTAGGGCTTGGATGAGCCCTAAGTCTTGTGTAATCTAAACCCTTGTATTTATATTTTTGGTGATTTTTATATATATTGTTGTGATTAGTGTTCTAACCTTATGAATTTCATGAATCTTGGTATATTTCTATGATTTCCATGGTCTAATTCTTCCTATTAATTCTCTAGTTTATTTACATGTCTTTGTGTGATTAAATTAGGAATTATGTCTCACATGATTCATATGGGTTAAATCTTCCATTGATTCTCTATTTTAATTACATGTTGTCTTATGTGTGATTATTTAGGGAATTGATCTCTACACTAGTTTTTCTATATTAATTGCATGTCTATGTGTGGTTGATTGAGAATCTAGTGATGGCTAGACATTAGTGCTTAATGGAATGCTCTTGTTATGTCTCTTGATGGTTCATACTTATTCCTTGATGGATTGTACCTCTCCCTTAGTTTATTTTCATGCTAGTAGTGTAGTTGTAGTGTAGTGTTAGATGGGGGAGACAATTCATGCTTGTTCTTTGATGTTCCATGCTTTTGAATGCAAGAAGCATATGCTCTAATATTGTGGTATAATGGAATTTTGAGCTTAATGAATGATTAATGACTTGTTATGATATATTGTATCTTTCACATGTGTTTAGACAATTTATTCCTCTCCCAATAGATATATTGTGGCCTCTCACATGATGTTTAGACAATACATGTTTAACTAAGTCATCCTTATGAATTATTTGGAATTTTGAGCTTAATGAAGGATTAATGACTTGATTTGATATTTTGTTCTCTTCACATGTTGTCTAGACAATATATTCCTCTTCCAATAGATATATTGTAGCCTTTCACATGTTGTTTAGACATTATACACTTGTTGAGTCACCTTTCCTAGTCGAACCAATTTTGTTCACAACAACTTATTCCCCATTAATGGAAAGCAAGTGGTTAATTACATGAGCTTAGTGGTGATTCCAACACCCTAAGTCCTCTCTTTTCATCTCTTAAATCCCTATCTCTACTTAGTTTTATTTTTATTGCATTTTAATTAATTCTTTTCTAGAAGTAATCAACCAACCCAACTCTCTTTTGCAATCATTTGGTACGCTAGAGTCGAAGTTGAAATTCCAACACGTATAATCCCTTGGGACGATCCCTACTCACTCTTGCTACGTTAGTAATGGTGTTGGTAGTGGTTTTTATAAATTTAAATTTGACATAAAAGGCTTTTCTTGAACCATACATTCACTACATTTAGTTTGGCGTATTGGAACGGCCGTCATCAGATTTTGGCGCCGTTGCCGGGGATTAACGGTTTTGTTGGAATTAAACTAGACAATAGTGTTCATTAGATTGCTTCTATTTTTATTTTATTTTCCATTGTATATTCTTTTCTCTTGATTCTCATTATTATTTGTTCAATTAGGTACTTGACTACAAGGAAGGCGAACTTTGGAACTTAAAGCAATCATTGGAGCTTAAAAGCTAAATTTGGAGTTGAAGTGCTAAAGGACCATTGTGAGCAATTCTTGGCACTCTTATATTTTAATTGTTTCACTTCTTTGTATGCTTGTGATAGCCCTTGTTGAGGCTCATTTTATTGCTAAATTTTTGTCCAAGCATAGGCCCTTGTTGAGGCCAATTTTTTTTTTTCCTCTTGCATTTGGGTTTTAATTGTGAATGGAGGAATTGTTTGATCCAAGTTTGGGAGGGAATTACATCCCTTCACCTTATGCTCCTCCATCACATTTTAATCCTTATGAGATTGAGTCCAATTCATTTCATGCATCATCTTATTATGGACTTGATCACTCATTTAATCCTTCTTATGACTATTACCCTCCCCCACCATTTTATGATGAATCAATTCCACCACCTTCTAAGTATTCACCCGGATTTGAAGAAAAAGTGTTAGCTTTACTTGATGTGCATATTTTACACACTTCACTTATTAATTCTCATTCTCAAACTTTAGCCAACTTAGAAGCTCAAGTTGAGCAAATTGCAAGTACTCTTTCTCATCAAGAGGAGGAGGAAGAGGCAAATGAAAAAATGACAAGAACTTCAATGAATATAGATGAGGATGATGAGAGTGAGGAGAATGAAATAAGTGAGCTAATGCCTAGCACTCTATCTTGTATAGAGGAAGAAGTGGCAAGTGAGTTAGTGGCTAATCCAATAGAACATAACATGATTAATGATGACTTTCCTTGTTTTGATTATGATTTTATCTCGGACATGGCTACTCTAGAGAGTGAGGAGATGTTGACCACACTTGAGGTAGGAGAGAAAGAGGAGGAACTTGTTGAAGAGGGCCTTCCTTCTATTATCTCTAATGACCCTCTTGAGGAGTGTCTTTTGGAAATGTATAAAAATTGTGGTTTTGACTTTAAAAGCTCTAAAAATGAAATAAACTCTCTAATGGACTCCTTAGCTTACTTAGAAGGTGAGGAAATGGTAATTTATGAGGAGGAGAAGAGGGATGAAGAGAGGGTGTTTCTTATTAATCCAAATGAGTCTTTGAAAGACAATGCCTCACCAATTATCAATATGGATGATCATTTGAATGTGTTTCAAGAACACAACAAAGAGGCAAGCCTAACCATGATTGATTTTGTTTTCAAGACCGTGGATGAAAGGAATAATATCATCTCTTTTATTTCTTTTCAAGTCATTCTTTTGGAGGATGATTTCATTGTCATAAGTGGGACATTAAATGAGAAAAGTGAAAAGAGGGTCAATAAGGATGTTTCATATCTAGTTTTTGATTCATTTGATTAGTGAGTTGACCTAACGTCTTGCTAAAGACGTTAAACACTAGTATTCGTAGAGTTTCAC